CCCCCCCCCCCCCCCCCCCCCATCTCTCTCCCTTTGTCTGCTCTCTCTCTCCCCCTCTCTTCTCCCTCTCTCTACTCCCTCATGGGTGTGTTTTGTCTTTCAGGTGTATTTCGGCCGATGGCTGATAGAGGGGAGTCCGTATGTTCTGCTGTTTGATATTGGTTCAGCCGCCTGGAATTTGGACCGCTGGAAAGGGGATTTCTGGGAGGCATGTAGTGTGGGAATTCCCTTCAGTGACCGTGAAGCCAATGACGCCTTAATATTCGGGTCCCTTGTGGCATGGTTCCTGAAAGAGGTACAGTGGGCATTTCACGTCGAAAAATCATTTTGGTGTTAAATGTTTTTTTTATATGCAAATTGATGAAAAGAAATCTTCCGTTAGCTAAGGCCGATCTTCTATATATACACTATACATCAGTGCCAAAACACTGCACAACATACATTGCCTGGGACATGTGAGAGCAGGTTAGTTTCTCACATCCCTGTCGTGTCCTCTACAGCGATTTTTCCCCCCTGGCAAGTTCTCACCAGTGGCCGATTGCAAGTATGTCATGCTTACGCACACCAAAACTTCAACACTTGGGGTTTATTCATAAACAATTTGCAGGGCCATTCATCCTCCAGAGCTCTGTGAACGTTCGTTCTGTGTGACTCGAGGCAAAAACGAATGGTTTTAGTATACAGGTGAAACTCGAATAATTAGAATATCGTGCAAAAGTAATTGCAGTAAGTGCTGCAAAAGGGGCCCAAACCAAGTACTGAGTACATATGCATGCTTGTACTTTTCAGAGGTCCGATATTGTTCTATGTACAATCCTTGTTTTATTGATTGCATGTAATAATCTACTTTTTTGAGGTTGTGGATTTGGGGTTCTTGGGGTTTTCATGAGCTGTAAGCATCACAATTATGACAAATCACGGCTTGAACTATCTTGCTTTGCATGTAATGAGTCTATCTCGTATATTAGTTTCACCTTTTAAGTTGCATTAGTGAAATAAATGAACTTTGCACGATATTCTAATTATTTGAGTTTCACCTGTACATATTTTCTTGCTTGAATGTAATGTAATACCAAATGACGGCCACTAGATGGAGCTGAGGAGGCTAAGAAATAAATACTTATTTCCTATGCTGCTCGGCTCCATCTAGTGGCCATATTGCGGTATTACATTATGTTGCATTTGACCTGAAAAGAAAATATACTGGCGCTTATCTTCCCACGTCAGACTTTTACAAAGCGGAGAATTCTCAGAGAATTGGAGAATTATTTCACTGACCTTTTATAGATTCTCCTCACATCCTCTCCAGCCATGGTGGGTGTCCATTGTTGTATTACCTGGAGCTTCTCCATGCTATATGGTGCCGCTATATGAATAATCTCCTGTGATTTCCTCAGCTGACGGATCAGTTCCAGGACAAACCCAATATCATCGCTCATTTCCACGAGTGGCAGGCCGGAGCCGGATTGATTTTCTGTAGGAATCGGAAGCTTCCCGTCGCCACCATCTTTACCACCCACGCCACCCTGCTGGGCAGATACCTGTGTGCCGGCAACGTGGACTTTTATAACCGGCTGGACCAGGTAAGGGGGGTCCTCCATGAGGAAGGGTTTGGGGGGCACATTTCACTGTCATTGTAATCCAATAGCCTTACTGACACCTCCCCTGAGGAGACCACTCCCAATAGTTGTCACTGACACCTTCCCTGAGGAGTCCACTCCCAATAGCCTTACTGACACCTCCCCTGAGGAGACCACTCCCAATAGTTGTCACTCTCTCATCTCTCTTTCCTCTCTCTCATCTCTCTTTCATCTCTCTCCTCTCACCCCCCCCCCTCATCTCTCACCCTCTGTGTGCTCTCTCT